GGGGGGGGGGGAAGAAGAGAGACTGACAAACGTGTTAGCACCACCCGGCTCTCCAGGAGACAGGCAGCACTTTAACCTTAGAAATGGGTGAGACCTCCTGTGGGTGGTGTGAGCGGATGAGTGAGGCGATTTTGTGATGTTTTGTCATAGAATGGGAGGTGACGAAAGAAGAGGAAACCGGACTCTTTTAAATGTTTTATATCGAATTCACCAGACAAGCAGAGAAATGCTCTGGAGGAATTGGCTCTGAGAAAGTGTCAGAGCAAAGGAACAAAGTGTAACCAAAGGGGCAGCTGAAAAAAAAAAGCAAGGCGAGGGAAAGAGAAGAGCTTATTCACACAATCTGTCTCATGCATTTGAAATATGTTGTCCCGCAGTATATTTGCCTTTCATATCTGCATGAACTGCCAAAGGGGCTTTTCCAAACTGCTTTGTAGAGGATTCTGCCAAACTGACAGCAACACTTCTGATCCACGTAAACCTGCTCCCTGGGGGTGGGGGGGGGGCTTCCTCAAATATTCACTGTTAATGTGCTATATAAATAAATAAAGATTGAGCTTCTTCTTGTGTGTTTGCTCATTCTTTTGTTTCTGTGTGCGTCTTCTTCTCAGGTGTGTTTGCACTTCTCCAAGCCTATGCCTTTCTGCAGTACCTGAAAGACAGGCTGACCCGACAGGAGTTCCAGACGCTCTTCCTCCTTGGAGTGTCTCTTGCCGCCGGCGTGGTCTTCCTCACCGTCATCTATCTCACTTACACAGGTCTGTATGTTCTCACACGCTGTCACAGTTCATATCGTAGACCATCTCATTTGCTGTATTTTTTGGCCTTTCCTTGTAAGTAGAGCAGAAATAATGTGTCACTCAACAACATGTTAATCTGCTCGTAACAATCATTAAAGTGAATTATGTACTAAAAACATCAAATAATTAAGGTTTCAGCAACTTGAGTGTTTGCTGCTTTCTTGTTTTGTGTCATACATTGTTTTCAGGTTAGTCTGACAAAACAGGCAAATGAAAGAAACATTCTTGTCCAATTTTGAATTCAAATGAAGTCAATAGGTTCATGTATACAAGTGATAATTATGAGTTGGAGCCCTCTTTGGAAGCGATTAATAATGGTTGCAACCAATAAACAAAGCAGCCAATCCATCAAGGTTAGAGAATACAAAAGGAACGAATCAATCCTTTATTAATGAATGCTGAACCCCAGAATGTTTTTCATTAACTATAATGTCTTTATAGTTTACCTGGCTGTGTCCTTTCAGTGAATATTTCCATGTAACCGGCCTGCCCAGTCCAGAGAATAAAACATTTGAGTCTCCCAAATGTAGCCAGAACATTTATGTCACACGAGGAAATTAAACAAAATGGCGATGAGCAGATAATCTTTCATGATCTGTCAAGCTATTGTCAACAAATGAATGTGTGTCTCACTCCCTGGCTTTATTTCCTGCTAAATATTGTTGCGAAGATAGCTCATCGTGATCTAATATCTAATTTTAATGATAGTTTTATTGGCTAATCAAATAGTGAGTTTTTTTATTTTGAGCTCTGTCTTTTTATTCTTACAAATGGAATCAGTTATCATTTATTTGGCTGCGATTGTATGGACCAATAGCATTTTGTGCAAGGATCAGTTGACTAGATTTAATGATGCTGATCCAGATCTGGGATATCAGCCATTTCAAATTGTGTTTTCCTTATTTAGCCAGAAGTTACAGTATGTTTATACACTATCCCCCATTGGTCTGACCGGCAGGCCTCCCCAGTGGGCCGCTAATCAGTGTTTGGTTCGTCAGAAAATGAAACCCGGAAGGCACACGATAAGCAAATATAAACAGATAGGGATGCTGCAGCCTCGCAAGTTGTAGGGCTGTGGAGCAGTAGTGGAAGATAGTGCTCTTTCGAGGGCCTTTTTCTGGAGTTGAATGTTGTTTTTGACTGGCCTGGTTGAACCCCGATGCGCACAGCAAGCCAGTTGAACTTTGCCCTCAATGTTGTCTCCCTTATTTTCAGCTCAGCTTGCGTTTGTGGCCACAAGGTTACAGACCTTTCAAATGTTGCCTCCTTGCTATTTATTGATTCTATTAGTGTCCCGATGAAGTGTTCAGATTCAAGTTGACATGATATACCATCTTTTAGTTCTTTAAACACTAGATTTGCTCTCCCTATCTACAGTAGTGGTTCATTAGCTCAGACTGGTCCCAGGAAAGCTAATATGTGAAGGAAATAGAGCGCTCTCGTATCCCCTTAGGCTGTGTACGCACACGTTTTCTGCAGTCTGTAATGAGCCTAAATAAAGCATGTGGCTTTTTTTTAACCCAACATGAGAAATTGGTTTTCTCACCTTAATTAAGGCAGCAGATTATTTACTAGCCTTAAACAGCTATCTGACATTCTGTCACTCCAGATGATGTGAAAGCCAGGCCTTTTGTGAAAAACGATGGTGTCACATTACATCTATGGTTATATTTGGCATCCTCAGATATTCCGCCTGCCTGCTTTAGAGCTCATGGGCCACTCATGCGTACGCAGAAGTCTCGTGAGAGATCCTGGACGTCTGGTAACCGCTGTGATTTGTCAGCCATCTGAATTGAGCAGTGGGAGTCAGTGACTGTTTGGGGATATGCCAGTTTCCGAGTGAAGCTGTGCATGTGATTCTCTGGTCTACTAGACTTTTTCATCTCTTAAAAGTCTCTGCATCTCAGGAGCCTGGTGGGTTTCCTCAGTATATTGAACTCAGAGCCAAGTATTGATTGCTTAAATCAGTGTCATCCTTTAAATAAGCTCTCAAAATATATTCCCTTTTTATTACTTTTTCATGCCTGCTTCGGTTCTGACATCTTATTTAAAGAGTGTTTTCTGATGGTAGTGGTGCTTATTTCATCATAAATGCTTAAGAAAGGATCTCTCCAAAGAGCTTCAAAGGACAGGATACAGCTACATGTTGGTGCCAACCTGCCACAAAATGTGTAATATGAGGCTCAGGCTTTTGTTTATGTTGGTGTCTGTGCGCACATGTGAGTGTGTGTGAGAGCCCCTTAGGCAACAGTTCAGAGCTGAAATATATTCCACATCAAAGCCTTACCAAAATAAGACATTTGTATGTGCACATAAAATGCCCTGTGCGGTCTAATTTGCAGCTTAAATGGTTTCAGTTACATTTATAAACAAGTCCATTTCAGTAATTAAGTACCATCAATAGAATACATTTAAAGCATTGACATGTTCTGTATCAGGGTTCTCTTGGCAGAAAAGCTTGGTTAATACAGAGCTGTTGCTTGGCTATATAGGTTGTTTGTAAAAAACAATTTTCTCTGATAATTTCAATCAGATTAGTGTATAAGCGACGACAGGATGTAGATCGTGCTGCCTTGCTCGTACATGTGTATCTTCTTGCATCTGCACATAAATAACAGATTAAAAGACCACATTTTTACTGCAGTGTGTTGCAGGGGTGCATTTCAATTTTTAAATAAATAAAAAGTAAGGGTATTTCCTCCCTCACTTGACCTTTTATTGTTGATTATTTTCGTCATTATAAGAGAAATGAGTAAGATGGCAAACCAAGTTCAAGCTGCGCATTCCCACAATATACAGAAGTTCAGTTTGGTTTCACACAGTGAATATTAACTGCATAGTAGACATCCATTGTTTATCCTCAGGCAAACTTTACAACTATATACATTTTCTAGGCCTTTGGGTCAGATAGTGTTTTCCATTTTTATGTATTTCAAAGCTGCACAGTTGGGTAGAGTTTGCTTTATAAATAATTACGTTTGGTTGTAGCAAAGGACATTCTAATGAGAGTATTTTTTACGTTGTTTAAAAATGATTGTTCATTTCCTTCGGTCTTTATTCTGGTCTACACCTTATTCACCTTCCTGCCCCCCCCTAACAGCAGGCGCTATATTCAGAGGCTCGAATGAATGAATAAACAAATCCTTTCTTTCCTCAGGATACATTGCTCCGTGGAGTGGTCGTTTCTATTCTCTCTGGGACACCGGGTAAGATCTGCTGACCTTCAAACTCTCACCGTCGATGGAAAACATGTTCAATCAAGTGTGTGTTTTCAAATCCGACTATAAAACCCCCCCGCACCCTCCCAGAGGGGAAACTGAGCAGCTCAGGCTCGGTGTTGAACTATTGTCTTCCTTCCAAACAGCACCAGGCACCCTGTGTTCTCCAAATGCACTGCAACATGTTTGATATTCCAGTACACCCAATCCATTCTCTCCCCCCCCCCTCTGTTTGCTGACTGGAGCAGTATGGGATAGTTTTCCCCCTCTGGAAGCTGATACTAATTCCTTAATGTGTTTAGTGTTTTCTCTTTCCCAGCTGTAATAACTAAGCACTTTAGAGAAGTGTTTGAAACTTATAGAAACCGCTGCGTAAAAGCCTGTAATGAATAAAAAGGGAACACACAGCTTAGGGAAGAAAAAGGAAAATTACTCTTTCAGTTCTAAATGTGTCCATTTTTTTGATCATAAGCATGCAGGGAGGTACATGATCTTCTTTCCTCATACTCTGGAGTTAATCAGGAGGATGTATTGTGTCATGTGTCTCAACACTCCCAATGGACTCAACCCAACATGAATTACATTCTGTCCCCTCCCCTCTGTTTCCAGCTATGCTAAGATCCACATCCCCATCATAGCGTCAGTGTCGGAGCACCAGCCCACCACCTGGGTCTCCTTCTTCTTCGACCTCCACATCCTGGTCTGCACCTTCCCAGCAGGCCTCTGGTTCTGCATCAAGAACATCAACGATGAACGAGTGTTTGGTAGGAGCACTTTATTAAAAGCTCTACAGTTTATGAGAACATGCGCGCTTGGACATTATGACATTTATTTTCACCTCAGCATGAATTGGAAAGACGGGCAAATAATTGAGTGGTTTATCCGCTCAGTAAACAGTAGGCTAAGTTAACATGCATGATTTGTAAATGGTACATCATACGTGGTCGTGTTGACACATTTACTGAAAATACTTACCTTTACAGTTTCTAGCCAGGAGTCCAGGCTTAGCCTAAGATACTTTCAGAGCAACTCTGAGCAAGGAAGATTTTAAAAGGTGTGATTGGTTGATTAAGAAAAAAGATTAAATTGCACTCCTGGCAACAAATGGACCGTGACTTGATGGGTTTCATCATAGATAATAATTTTAATTAATAAATAAATAAATAATAAATAATTTTCGGACTATAAGCCGCGCCTTTTTCCCCATGTTTCGACGCTGCGGCTTATATAACGGTGTGGCTAATCTATGGATTTTTACAGCAAACATGGGGAAAAAGGCGCGGCTTATAGTCCGAAAATTATTTATTATTTNTAAGTCAAGAGTGGGACAATCTTTTCCCGGAAGGAAAAGCAGTTCAGTCTTGTCAAGGTTGAGCTTGAGGTGGTGAGCAGACATCCACTGAGAGATGTCAGCTAGACAAGCAGAGATGCGTGCGACGACCTGGGTCTCTGAGCGGGGAAAGGACAGAATTAATTGGGTGTCGTCAGCGTAGCAGTGGTATGAAAAACCATGCGGGCTAATGACAGATTCGAGCGAGTTTGTGTACAAGGAGAAGAGGAGGGGACCAAGAACAGAGCCCTGAGGGACCCCTGTAGTTAATTGACAAGGGTCGGACTCGGACCCTCTCCAAGTTACCCTGTAGGTGCGGTCTTTGAGGTATGAGGTGAGGAGGGAAAGTGCAGAGCCTGAAACTCCAAGTTCTGGAGAGTGCGAAGGAGGATCTGATGTTCACCGTGTCGAATGCAGCAGACAGGTCCAGAAGATGATGACAGAGGAGAGGGAGGCTGCTTTAGCGTGTGCAGTTCTCAGAGACAGCAAGGAGAGCAGTTTCTGTTGAGTGACCTGCCTTGAAACCAGACTGGTGCGGATCCAGAAGGTTGTTCTGATGGAGATAACAGGAGAGTTGTTTAAAGACAGCGCGTTCAAGTGTTTTAGACAGGAACGGGAGGAGAGAGACAGGCCTGTAGTTTATAACATCAGACGGGTTGAGAGTGGGTTTCTTTAGGAGAGGGTTTACTCTTGCCTCCTTGAGACTGTTTGTAAAGTGACCAGAAGTTAGAGAAGTGTTGATGAAATGGGTGAGAAACCTATTTTTTATTAAATGCTTTTTTCCCAACAAAACTATATACTGTACATCATAGCTGTTTTAACTTTAAGAAATATGAAGCCCGAACTAGCTTAGTTCATTGTTGGTTTTAGTCTTTTAAATGGGATTTTTATTTATTTTCAACAAAACAATTATACAATAATGCCAATGTCTTCCTTTAATCATCTCATGATGTATCAAGTCTGAATGCTTGTCTGTAAGCAATGTAGAGCAATGAAAAAGTAGCTTGAAATGAACAATTCAAATATAAGTTCGTATTGTGATAATAGCAAATTCTAAAAGTAAAAAATAAACTACTACCAGACACTCAATTACAATCTAGTTCTGAAAAGTGAAATCATTAACGTTTCTATTTTTCCATGTTTCCATAGCACCACCAAGGGCTGGAAGACATCAGCCCCTCTGAAGAGGTGACAGATACGGAGGATAATGAAGAGGAGGACCTGGGAGTCCTGGACGACCAGCGGAGCATCATCCTCCACCTGCTCTCCCAGCTCAAACTGGGCATGGACCTTACACGGGTAAGGAAACTACAAAAATAAACTGTGCAGGCTCACGAAAATAAGGTTTTCTGGTCATAAATGAGATTTTGTTGAGCCATTCCCCTAAGAAATGGTTTCCTTTCAAATCTCTGGGGTTTCACAGGTGGTGTTGCCTACCTTCATTTTGGAAAAGCGATCACTCCTGGAGATGTACGCCAACTTCATGGCCCACCCTGACATGTTCCTGTCAATCACAGCGGGGGCCACAGCCGAGGACCGGATAGTCCGGTTTGTGGAGTATTACCTGACCGCCTTCCACGAGGGCCGGAAAGGTGCCGTGGCCAAGAAGCCCTACAACCCCGTGCTGGGGGAGACCTTCCACTGCTCCTGGGAAGTGCCTCGGGACAAAGTCAAACCTTTGGTCAGATCCAACCAGGGGTCCTCCTGGGAGCCAAGCAGGGGCCCCAACAACACGCAGCAGGGCGCTGACTCACCAGCAGACTGCTACACTGTCCGGTTTGTGGCCGAGCAGGTGTCCCATCATCCACCTGTGTCTGGGTTCTACTGCGAGTGCCGGGAGAAGAGCATGTGCGTCAACGCCCACGTGTGGACCAAGAGCAAGTTCATGGGAATGTCTATAGGAGTGTCCATGGTGGGAGAAGGTGAGATACATCTCAACATGACCTCGCTGTAAAAACGTTTTTTTAATACAGTAATATAACAGCAATCCAGTTGAACATACTGCAAAAATAATGCAATATTGATCATGTCACAATGATGAGTTTAAACCAGGAAACAAGTTCAAAAGTAACTCTTACCAGCACTGAACAAAAATAAATGTAATTCACATTTACTGTAATATGTGCTCAAACTTTTGCTCCAAAAATGGATTCCAACCAAAACATGCTGCCATTAAATATAGCTCACGTTTGCAGCATTAGTAGCTGAAGGAACAAAAGGTCAAACAGTTCTCAAATATTTGTTTTCTTCTGGAAGATCTCACTTTACAGTCCATCACAGCCTCCTGTCCTGAAGGGAATATAAGGCTGCATGTCACTTATCAGGATTCATGTCATAGATTTTATGAAACAGGCATATCGAGACCCACACAGACTATGATCCCGCTCCCATGGCAGTCAATAATCCAGTCCTCTCTTAGCACCATTGCACCATGTACAGTACGCTGCTGGGGATGAGTCACCCTGAGCACAGACACAGGAAGTCCTTGAGCCCGATCGACTGTTTCTGGACACCTGAACTCATCCAGTCAGACAGTACGGCTTTCTCAGGCTTTACCGCCCCCCCCGACCGGCTGCCTGATGCTGCCTATTAGAGCACATTCTGACCCTCACCCCGGGAACTATTGATTGCTGGATATTCTTTTGCCAGGGCTGCAACCCTGATAGCAGTTGATACAGGGTTTTAGGAATAGCCTGGATTTCACTGATTGGCAGTGAGTCAGCAACAGAGAGGGATACAGCAGCTGACTCAGCCAGAATGATGGCTTTTGATTGGACCTTTACAACATTGTGATTAGGGCTCAAGTTGGCCTTTTCAATCAGCACAGGCTTAGTGTACACTTTCAAACGGTCATACTATGGCTTAAAGTACATGATTATTATAGCTACACAAAGTAGAGGGCGATATGGTCAGATGAATGTTACTTCCATCATGTGAACATTGTTCATTTATGCTATCCATTCTTTGAAACCATTGTCAGTACCTACAATAGTTAGATACTGACATTTCATTTCCATTTAGAGTGACCTTTTCTAACCTTTACTAATTATGCAGCTTTAGAGGTGCTGCTTGGTGGATTTTGTTACCTTTTAGACTAAAGACTGCTTATAAGTATTGCACATATTCACCTCTATAATTGGTATGCTGTATAGAGTTTGGCATTTTGATTGTCGACTTCTTTTTTAATCGACTTTTATACAATCTGATTTATTTTTGCAACTGTGGAATCACTGCCTGCTGGTTATTGGAGAGAATGCAAGTTTAGAGCTCAGGTAGAATTAGGAATGCGCGACTAACTTATTTGAAAGAGTATTGTTCACAGATTGGTTGCTCCTTCATAAAAAAAAAACACCTCATGTCTCGTGTTTAGGCTTACAGGGTGACATATTGTACTGATACAAGTTATCATACATGTCACACATACAGTTGAGCTTTTCAATAATAATTCATCATGGTAGTCCTACTGTAGAAAATAACCTATTCAGAACCACATAAAGGCTTTTTGTCATCACACTGGTGCCACATAGAGTTTATCTTTGTGCACATTTTGGTGAGAAACATGATTATGACAAACAGTTAGACAATCATCTCACGGGCATTAGAGTTGTTGTTGTTGTTGTTTATTACACACTAATCCATGCTGAAGAACACAGATGATGCTGGTGTCGTTCATGTGTAAAGACTCTCATGTACTCGCAAACACAGAAGAAGATATTAACTGTTGCTGTGTATTTTGCATTACATAGTATAGAAAACAATTAGGCCGAATGCTGCCTTCATTGTGGTTACATAAATAAACTGGTTTTATTGCCTATACACAAGATATGAAAACTCTAGCAAAAATTACTCAACTTTATTTCTTACATGCAGGAGCACACTGAAGTGCCTGGTTATTTAAAGTGGACCTATCAAGCAAAATGCACTTTGTGAGGTATTTTATACATAAATATGTGTCCCCGGTGCGTCTGGGAACTCACGCAGCGTCAGAAAATAAAACCCTCTCTCTTTTCCTCCGTACCCAAATCTTTTAAAAACGGCTGTACAACGAGCGGACCCACAGATAATATGCCGGTGTGAGTACCATATGTGTTCGGGGTACCATCCAACGCCAATAACAATGCGTGAAGTGATTGACGTCATGACGTCATTGGTAAGAGACGGACCCCGAACACATATGGTACCCCGAACACATATGGTACCGACACCTGACGTGTTTTGGACGTAATCTCGTCAAGCCTCGCTAACACTCAGAGCTAACCTGTACTGGAGAGCACATGTGTTTAAAAAGCAGGAAATAAAAAAAAAAGAACTCACCTTGTGATAAACCCGCAAGAGAAAAAGCATTTGAGCTCAATGCGGTTTCAGAAATAATCTTTGATGTGGTTTAGAACAGGATGGCTTTTTCCTCACAGCAGAATTTAACTTTGTCTCCGGTAGAATTCTGATCAGGCATTAGCTCCGCCTCTTCTTTTTTTTTTTTTTCAAGCTAAGGACCCAAAATCCGCGTTTCTCTAACAGGGCTGTAAAAGAGGTATTGAGGCATGGCTGCAATGGGTGAACTGTTTGGTATTTTAAGCAAAAAACTTCACAGACATGTTTTGTATAGGTATGGCCCTACAATATATATTTTTATATAAAAGATAAATGTTTATGTAGAAGTTTCTGTGCCAGTTTCTCCACACTGCCTGCTGTGTTTTACAAGTGCATAATAAAGATCATGCACATAACTGGCTTGGAATAAAAATATCTACATACATAGATTTGAATTAGTAGTAATGATTCCAACATTTGATTATACATTCAGAGAAAGAGAGGCTGTGTGCAGAGAAATCTGCTTGCTCCACATACCTCAGCTAATTGTTACCAAACCACATTTAGTCATTAGCTCACCATAAACAGGTTTCTCTCAATGTTTTACTTTAGTGCATTTCTACTCCCATCATTCTTCTGAAGATTGACTTCTTCCTCTTCTATCTATTCCTCTTGTCTCTCAGGGGTCCTTTGTCTCCTGGAGCATGACGAGGAGTACGTGTTCACGCTGCCCTGTGCCTACGCCCGCTCCATCCTCACCGTGCCCTGGGTGGAGCTGGGGGGAAAAGTCTCCATCAACTGTGTCAAGAGCGGCTACTCTGCCACCGTCACCTTCCACACCAAGCCTTTCTACGGAGGGAAGGTCCACAGGTGAGGGTTCTCTCCTGCTGCCCTCAAACATTACATCTCACTCTCACAGCTGACATTAAAGGCTGATATGTCTTTTCCTTTTTTTATATAATATATCAAATAATTCAATATTTGCAAGAATGTTAATGTATTAAATAACAGTTTATCACAAACAACGTACACACAATAAATACTTTACTAAGTCTAATAGTTTCTGATATTTACGACATAATGTTGAAAGTATATTTTAAAAAACGACAGAGGATAGTATGTTTAAAATATATAGAAAATCGTCAATATATAGAATTTTGAACATATCACAAAAAACATAGTATAGCATGTCCAAAATATATATAAAAAAATAAATAGTATAGTTTGTCGGAAATATTAATAAAACCCGACATTGTGTTGTATGTCCAAAATATATTTGTGTGTGTTGGCATACTGTCATGACTTTTTGATACAATACTGACTTCTTTAAGACATCTTATGGAATACAACACTATTAATTTAAATTACCTTTATTGGCATACTATACTTTTCTTATTCAATATTTTCTGGGATATTAGACCGTGCTTTTTTTCTCTTTCACTTTGTAACATTTTTATTGCATAGATACTTTTTTTACATAATATACTGTGATTCTTCTACCTCATTATACTATGATATTTGTTTGCATGTTATGGCTACTAAACTATGAAACAAAAAATACAATACCATGACCTTTTACATTTTTTAAAACTACTTTACTTTTTAAAGACATTTGATAGAATACAATACTCTATATTTTCAGCACATTCTTATTGAATACTAAACCATTTTTAATTGACTATGAACCTTTATGATTTTAGATGGCATACTATGTCATGAGTTTTGGACATTTAAGACCCTAGGATAAAAACAAAAAAACACATTTCAGTGATTTCATCTATTTTCTTTTTTTTACTTTAATGACTTAATTTAATGAACAACTTAACAACTTAATGCAGGTAAAATGTTATCTACATTTAGAACTAAAATCAGTTGTAGTTTATAATTATTAACTTAGGAGACAGGGTTCATATCAAGAACATCTTTAGCTAGTGTTTGTGAGCAATGTGGTATTTAATTTATCACATTAACAATGCACCGAATGCAGGTATACATATGACGTACAGAACAATTCCCAACGACAATGTCTCTGTTTTGCTGACTCAGAGTGACGGCCGAGGTCAAACACAACCCGACCAACACCATCGTGTGCAAAGCTCAGGGCGAGTGGAACGGCACGCTGGAGTTCACCTACAGCAGCGGAGAGACCAAAGTGATCGACACCACCAAGCTCCCGGTCACCAGGAAGAAGCTGCGGCCTGCCGAGAAACAGTCAAGGACAGAATCCAGGTGACATAGTAACGCTTTTCTCCAACAAGTAGGGTACTGCTAGATGTGGCCAGAGGTGGGAGAAGTACTCACATCTTGTACTTTATTAGAAGTACCAGAGTGTAGGAATACACTGTTACAAGTAAAAGTCCTGCATACAAAAGGTTACTCTAGTAAAAGTACAAAAGTATCAGCATAAAAATACAAAAAGTAAAAGCACTTATTATGCAAATTGGTCCATTTCCGAATGATATATATTATGTGGTTTGATAATAATTATTGATGCATTCATGTGTTCTCAAAGCTGGTCAAGGAGCAGCTAGTTTGAATGACTTTGTATACTGCAGGCTAGCTTGTGAAGTGTAACTAAAGTCTGACTTAAGTGTTGATTATATTTCACATAATTAATCAAAGTCTGTAAAGTAACGAAAGGTAAGAAATGTAGTAGAGTAGAAGTACACGATTCACCTCTGAATTATAGTGGGGTAAAAGAAAAAAGTAGTATAAAATGGAAATACTCAAGTATTGCAAAATTGTTCTTATGTACAGTACTTGAGTACATTTACTTAGTTACCTGCCAGCTCTGGATATGGTAGCTTTTAAATGTTCTTGTTGTGTGTTTTACTTTTGCCTTTAGGCGGTTATGGCAACATGTCACCAAGTCGCTAAAGGACGCGAACATCGATAAGGCCACGGAGCATAAACACCGGCTGGAGGAGCGGCAGAGAGGAGACGAGAGGCAGAGAACAGCTGACAACAAACCCTGGACCCCCAAATACTTCACTAAAGAGGTACAGTGGAGGAGATAAACAACGCTGTGATATGAGGCTGGAACTCAGGAGGAACGCTTGTTGTTGCCATGGTTTTTGATGTCCACTATCTGACCTTGGTGTAGGAAACATAGCAAACCAGTTTTTACTGTGGTAAATGTTTACATTGCAAATGCATGATTCAGATATTATCGCAGATCCCTGATGCTAGTGTTTATTTTTAGTCTGCCATTTGGAATCTAACAAAATACACACAATTCATTATAAAACAGAAGGATGTTGTGTTTTTTTTTATTCGTCACAAATTAATGATATATAGATTGATAATAAATTACTGATCATTAAAATATTTATATCAAAAAGTAGCAATACAATCCTGCATTGATGTGGAGTCACTGGGTTACGACATGGAGAATCAAGATTTTTTAATAAAAACAGCATCATATATTATGAAGGTAAGAATAGAGATGTGACTACGTCTAGTCGAGTCATTAGGTCACATAATATGGAAGCTATTGAAAAGACAAGGGACTTTTTAAGAAAGAAAAAAATCATATATGCATTCATATATAAAAGCCCCTGAAAGGGAGACAAAATAAAAATATCAATAAAACATTTTTTTTTCTTGTGTCCACAATTTGGAGATTGTAATAATAATAATAATACATTTTATTTTGAGGAGCCTTTCAAAGCACCCAAGAACACCTTACAATTCATAAAAGTTCTTACAAAAGGTTAAAACAGTACAAGAGAACCAGACATGTGTATACACTATATACTGTAGCTTCTAAGTACCAACAAATTCTGTGGTCTTTTTAAATAGTTAATTTACCAAAACAAACATAGACACTTTCTCACTTACCTAATTTCCAATTCTCCATTTGTTCTCTTCTCACACACGCAGGGAGAAGGTTGGATCTACAACAGCCCACTGTGGAAGTCTACCTGACAGCAGATCAACGGTCTCTCCTGACGGACAATAACAGATCCCCCTCCACACTGAGGTCAGAGGTCAAGAGGAGGGAGCCATGACCTTCAGACCTGAGCTGCAGACTCTGTGACACCACATGAAGGAAACAAGCAAGGTGCCAAAGCGATTTCCACTGTTAAAACCAAGATGGTGGTTGGATCTCTTGGGACTATAGTACGTTTTATATACAGTTAATTCATAGTATTACTATCAAAGTAGAGTATTTCTATTTTACACCTTGCCAAGGCCTTTTTTTGCACATGCACTGTAATGAAGTTTGCCACTGGTGTTTTGTTTTTTTGTTCCGGACATTGTAATTGTTTGGTTCCAAGCTTTTAGTTTGTAACGCAGCGTTAGAATGAGTTGATACGAGTTCCCTGTAACACATACTACTGTAGCTGTAAAGAGTTGTTATAAAGCACTTTTATCATAGAAATATATTTAATATTTTATATCTATGGCTTTTACTAATCAGGGTGGTCTTTTAAAAGCTTTACAGGAAGTAAGAACACCTAACCACGTTTAAATGAGATATGAGTAAAGAGTTAAATGTACTACGTTAGGTAATGTGTTAGTATATATTATCATTACAGTGAGCTTCTAGAAAGTAAAGGATTGTTTTGTCTGCACTATGAATGTATCTGGGCACATTTTAATGGCTTCTTTTCCATCTTGTACTGTCTATTACACATGCCCTTTGTGTTTTTATATTTGCTCCATTTCAAATATTCCACCCGTGGAGTGAGACGCCTCTGTAAAACAGACGCTTTCCATTACTACCTCTCTAATTCGGCTATTTCAGCCATTAGTCACTTTGTATCCTTCTTCTTCAAAACAGAAAATACTGGTTTGTTTGTTGCAAAACGTTTCTGGGTCCTCTTATCTTTTTTTACTCATGCCCCTAAAATGGCACTTGTGTAATTAGGCAGCCCGTGCCTCTTGAAGTTTAATACTTCTCCTCAGGTCGCCCGTGGTGATGAATATGGATGAAGAGGCTTGTAGAAAACACACAGCCATGTTCTCACATCTGGGGTTCGCTGGGAGGTTGCCTCTGTGAAGATGAGAGGATAATCCAGCAGAATAACAACCCCTGGGAACTGTTGGAGAGAAAAGGAAACGTGTCGGGTCATAATACCGTGGTAATCACTTTCTCTCACGTTTGACAAACCATGTTGGCTGTCTTCTCATTTATCTCTCATTGCATTCCCTGCTTGATTCCTCAGGCGTTCCTTCATTTACATTCTCAAATATGAATACCATTTTAAATCCAGGTGAATTTACCAGATGCCTATTTTGTCATTTAGAAAACATGTCATCAACAGCCACTTCATCACTTACCTTACCTGACACTAACAAGCAGTTTGTTGTTATGAAAGGCTCCAGAATTCACTGTGATTGTGGAGGAAGTAAAGATTGTCCCATTAATGAAACCCTTCTCCATTTTTTGGTTTTTAATAAACATGTATTCTCATGATGTCCTGAATGTATATCTGTTCTGCATCCATGTGATTATTATCAAAATGTAAACCATTCAATCCACCGCTGGAGGACCAATGAAACGTCTCATCTGTCCTCACAAAGGTCAAAGCAGGAACAGATTGAGATCATTTTGTTTTAATAAATGTGCCATGGCAGTCATTGACTCACTCAGGTTTATTCCTTTGTCCCCCAGCTCATTAGAAAAGCGTTTGAAAAGATAACTTTACGCTCAAAAAGTGCTGTAAAGGGAATTGTACCTTTATCGTTCTCGGGTCTTTTTTTACCCAGCAAAACAAAACAAACTCATACAACATAAACGGGAATGAAACTTGTATACATCCGTAACCTCAAAATCCATTTGGATTTTTGTGGTGTTGTGGTCATAAAACCTTATTTCCCTGATGAAAACTAAATCATCAAAATCTGACCCGCAGAGAACATTGGTGCAGCACGTAGCAAGAACATATTCTTGGTAGGTTTGAGGATCAAACTCAAACTGAACAGGAGTTTGACCTTTTATTTTATTAACAAACCGATCAAGGCCCTTCATATTCTCTGGAACTCCATAGATGAAAAAATCTTTAGACCCTTTCAAAATCAGATGAAAAGTAAACGATTGGTTTTCTCGAGTTTGTACAGCTGTCTGGAAGCACTGTCCCAATCAAATAAACTGGATATTATTCAAGGTCAAATTAGACCCAACAGAATAAAGAACTGGGGAAGTAAGCTATTTCCAAAACGTGGAATCCTGCAAACGGTGACCAAATAATTGTCAACCTCTTGAAGATTATTCCTGCCATCAAATGTAGCTGATAGCAGGATCAAGTCCTTTACATCACGTAGCATTAACTGGAGTGTTACTATTTAACAGAAGCATGCGAACATGGCAACATGCTAGCTAAACCGGAAATAAACATCCAGTTAGAGTGATGTGTGAAAGGTTGACACATGAGCAAGAACAGCCTAAACCGATGAAGGTCACGCAATAACAAAATGGCAAGGCTTCTGTTGCCATCCTCTACACAATTGCTATTTGTGCTTTTAAATGATTTTTGTTAAGTTTACTGGAAAAATACCTTTTTTTCATCATACTAGATTAAGTCTGTGCAAGATGTTCTGATTCTGAAGCCTAACATCTTCATCTAAAGAATAATGCTGCCATCAAGTGGTTGGCTTTGTGTTCACCTGCACAGGAAACATATCTGTACAATTATAATCCTGATTCATAATATGTTCAAAAGGATTCATAAACACGTCAATAACAACAACGTACACACATGTTTTCATTAGAGTGTATATTTAAAGATGGCTGAACAGAAACATGTAGAGATGTAAACTTTCATCAAACAAACGGTGTTAGGACAGACGGCACTGAGCTACTAAGAAACGAGTAAACTTAGCGAGGAAGAACTGCTCTGCCGCTGCTAATCGACACGAAATGAAAACATAAGAGGGCGAAAAACTGTACATCACATTAAGGCTTGGTCTGAGCTCTCCCCTCTCTTGACAAATGAGAAACAGGAAGGACAGGACTCAGTTTTAGGCGTTCGTGTGACTGAATAAAAATGTGGCATTGTGTCAAAAGTCTGAAATGGTGACACTCAAGTTTCAGAGATGATCAAAGAAAAGAAGAACAAAGCAAATCAGACATTTTTTCAAAAAGTGTAAAGAAAAAAAAAGAACAGCCGATACTAATAAAAATCTCCTTTGTGTGAAAGTGACAGAACAATGATGTGTTAGTCTTTTGATGCGTCACTTGATAAAAACTGAAAGTTACTGAAGCGTGCACATACATAAACACCTGTAGTGTTTACAACAGACACACAAACAGTGCAGTGCCCGCAGAACAACAGGTCAAAGGTTACGCTCCTTAGAGCTGTGTCCAAACTTTAAAGCACCTTATATGGCTGGAACTATTTCATTAATATGTCAACTGAAAGAAAATGTAACATCTTTTTTATATTGGAATAGTGTTCAAGTTATTATTTTAAAGTAGCTGCATCTTTGTAAATTATTTATTTGGTTTACTTTGTCATTTATTTGACGTTATATCCGATATGTCAGATGTGAAAATTGGGCATTTGTGTGAAATTTTATGAAAGGATTTATTAAGAAAATAATCAACCAATTAAAATGATGGTTTGCAGTACTACTTTATACTCATATTACATAATATACACCACCTACACTATTCAGAGGGACGCATCACATCTAATATGATTACTAAAATTGTAATTAGTCAGTTGCGCTAATTTTACACATGAAGCAATTATATTATCAGATTTCATTTTTCTCACTCCAAATTTGTGTTACAGATTGTCTATTCATAAAAAGCGTTCGGGGTGCATTGTGGGAATTGTAGGATGCAGTGTGATTTTTCAAGCAACCTTTCTCTATTTTTCTAATTTTAAATGATTTTAGGGGTTACGGCAGTTGGTCAAGAAAAAAATGCAGTAGAATGAAATCCCATTGGGCTCTGAGAAATGAACATTTGATGTACAAAAAAAACTAATTGAGAAAAAATGATCAGCAGATACAATGATGGAAATAATCCTTGGTTGCAGCCTAATTGTTTATTGGATCATTTGAGAGTAATGGTGGAGTATAGTGTGAATTAACCAAACCTTTTTAGACTCGTATGCAGTATGGACATGAGGACACAGCTCGAACAAGCACAAAGGGCCACGCAGTCACAGAAAGTGATGAAGCGTCTCCTGACCTCTGCTTTTCTCTAGTCTCAGTGCCTGTGTACTAACTAACTAACTAACTAACTAACTAACTAACCCCTTCACAGTTCACCAGTCACTGTCAACGCCTCAGTCTGGTGAAAGCACTCAAGAGATATGATGAGCTGAGTCCCAGAGGACCGAGGCGATGGTGACCGGCAATGAGGCACTAGGCTCTGCACGTTCAACTAGAGAGCTCCCTCTGCAGGAAGGGAAGCCTAATTCATTATCACTACTTTTTACACACAGTTGCTTGCTTCCGTCTTTAAAAACCCTAGCAGCAGAAATGTACAATCTATGCAATTCATGAAAAAAGGGAGATGTGAAGGGGGAACATTGTAAGAAATTCACATTCATTCTTCCAACAAAACCTCAAGCCCCTTTGTACAAGAATTATTGCATTCACTGTTCTATTTGCTGTCATACAAAACAAAAAGAACTCAACAGAACAATCACATTAAGAACTTAAGAGAAAAACTGACAACTGCATATTTAAAAATCACCACAATAATCCAATATATTATCATCCTTTTTAGACTTGTTCTTTACATAACATATGTACACATTAGGCCAATTTGTTTTCTAAAGAATTTGTTGAAAAAGAAGGTCGGGGAGCCAGGCAGACGTAAAGGAGAGGACGATGATAAAAAGGTTCATATTACAGACGGTGGCGTTCCTCCATGCCGCATACTGTCCTCTGTACACGTGTCAGGAACAAGTCCTCAGCTTCCCCCCCTCCCCCCCCGCGCGCTTCCTCACTCTCAGTAATGAGTTCACATGTGCCATGGAGCAAGGTCGATGGGTCTTTGGTGCAAATGTTCCCAGTCTTCTCTCGTTTCCCCCTTCACACCCCCGATCCCCGCACTGATAAGCAGTTAATTAAACGTACCACAAAAAAGAATCAACGCCGAACCAAGCAGAGCAGCCCTAAGCCTCGCCACACATTCAAGTACAAAGTAATAAAACAAAAAGAAGAAAGAACTAAACGGGGGGGAAAAAAAGATCCTCAGGGTAAAACGGACAACAGTTCTGGAGCTAGCCAGAGGTTACACTTCCTCAACACACGGGGGCGCTCTAATGAGAAGTGCTGGAGACCAAGGTCCAGATAAGTGGCCCCTGTGTTCTTCTTCATTGGTTGTTGGAGGTTTCTTCGCAGTTGTTTGTTTTCCTAGAAGAGTTCATCGTCACCATTATTTTTTTTGCAGTTTCTTGCCTTTCCTCAGGGCGAGCTTGTTCTTGATGTGTCCACGCTTCCTCTTGGCCGTCTGGGTAACGGGACAGAAGAAAAGAAAGAAGTGAAATCGAATGACAAACCTTTGGAGAGCTTTATATATATATATATATATATATATTAAAGAGCAACATACACAAAGAGTTTTCCCTACGTTTGTGAAAGGGGGAGTCGGGGTCCCTCCCAATTAAAAATATGCAATTTACCATCGTAAGGGGTTATACGAATATTACCACATATGTGTACAGAACAAGGTTAACAGCACCTTAAATGTTTGATAGAAACTAGTGAAAAAGTCCACTTGGGACCAACTACAACCATTAGATCAAAAATATATCCTTTGGTTAGTTTCTTTCTAAATGTATTTTACATAACTCAACTTAAGTGGGGCCCCAAGAGACCTGCGTGCCTTATAATCGGTCGGGGTGACAATTATAAGAAGAATTATAAGAGTTTCAAAACAAATGTTCTGCCTTTCTCCGAGGAAAACCATTTGATTGCATTTTTATTTTAGCTCTAGAGGTCATCTTGTCCTCTAGAGCTAAATAACCAGGGAAATTCAGGGCAGCATAATTGCATCTTTCTAAAACTGGAAGGCATGAATTCTGTTTTTAAAACATTAAAACAGGAAGTGCCCCGTTACCTTTTTGGAGGTGAACTTCTGCCTGGACACCACGCTGCGCAGCTTGTGCTCCAGCGGCTCCCGGTTCTCCAGCTTCTTCACCTTGTAGATCCTCACCAGCCAGTGCTCCGAGGTGAACGCCTCCTCCAGGTGCTTGAACTTGATGTCCTTGTTGCCGATCTCGGCGTTACGTGTCCGGTCGAAGCCGGGAGGCGTCCGGAAGTCCAGCTGGGAGACGGAGAAGCACGTCATTTGACTCATATTATAGAGCTGCATGCTAAATATTTTTGTTTTCAAGAAATAACTATTGCAATTTAAGTTAAAGCCGTTAACCGGGCTAGCCCTGTCGACAGAAATCTAAATAGTCTGGCACAATTTGTCCATTTACATTTCAGGTTTTACTGGGATTAAAGAAATGTTTATTTAGTGTGCTCTACCTTTGGACAGCTTGTCTTCTGTCCAAATGCTAAGCTAAACTCATAGTTAACCTTATACTTAAGTAGCATTATAAGCTACACACAACTCAAACTTCATAATCAACTCAAATGTACCAAAGAAAACAACAAGCCTCGTGATAACAGCGCAGCCTCCGCCCTTTGGCCACCATGACATCACACTCACAGCATGTTGTTCCTGTTATTCTGCTCCAACAGTCCTTACTGTGTCCTTCTTACTTTTGATACTCTCAAAGCTACCCTCTACCTTCCTTCTGTTGTTATTTTTCCTTTTAGTATTCACTCTCACTCTCCCTTTGTGTGCCACGTTCCCATCTACGGGACACCTTGGCATTTAGTTTATGCCTTCAGGCTGCTCCAGAGGACACAGAGGGGGAAATATGACACCGTTTTAGTCACAATAGCTGCATGTCTTGCTGTTCAACTTGTCATTTAATTGTCAGGGAAAAGATATACACACATTAGATGTTTTTTGGCAATACCATGTCCAGAGCCTGGTTGTATTTATGACATACTTTATAATACATACTGTATTATGCACTGTGAGTATAATCCTTTAATCTCCTCTCCCTGCTACAATCCACAACTATCTATTATTGTCTTGTTCCTGTTGTCATCTAAGCCTCCGTTTCCCCTTGTCACATCCTGTTTCCGTGAACCTAATCTATCCCTCCTACTCTCCCATTTCCTTTCCCCTCCCTCCTGTCCTTCATCTCCTTCTGTGCCTCAGTCTCTCCACCTATGTCCCGCCCGTAACAGTGCTGTGAGCCGCACACAGCTCTGGCAGTCTGTCTGTGGATAGTCTCTGCATTGATTCTCCCGTCTCTGCTGAGCTGTTGGCTGGGCCTCATCTGCAATGGGATGCAAGCACCTAGAGAGAAGGACCCCTCTCATCTCTCCTCTGCTGCCTTCCAGAAGTAGCCCAGGCACATTTGAAAGCTTCCACCAATCCTTCCATTTACCCCCAAACCCCTACCAACCTCAGGAGCTCCCCAAGGCATTTCCTTAAATCCTCTTCCGCCTGTCTGTCTGTCAGCAGGCTCCGCTTTTAAGATACAGTTGCAAGAATCTTTACACCTTTGGTGGTGGCAGCTGCTTGTTATTCTGTGTGAAAGCCACAGGCTGCAAAGAAATATCTAGCAGTAGTACTTTTGACTTCTTTGCCAATTGCAGCGGCTTGTTACTTTCTGATCTCTGCACAAAGTTATTGATGCCTGTGAAGTGGATCCCCATAACATCTTTTTGAATTTGGAGTTTCTCCCTGACCTGACCAGGAGATGAGAAATGATCAAAGACCCGCACAGTTGTTGCAAATCTTTCTTTGCCATGTGAAGAATCTTCGATGTGAAAGTCTCTTCTAACCTGCATTTCACCAAATCGGTAATAGGACATCTTGTACATGAGGCAGTTGAGCAGAGTTGGTGAACCGGCTTTGTCCACTCTGAACTCTCCCTGAGGGGTGAAGTAGTCGCTCTCCTGAAGGGGACGAGAAGAAGGTATGGGGGGATAAGGTCAGTGTCATAAACCCACACCGTTCACGAATACACCTTGGTCACTTACAGTCCAATTTACTAACAGTGGGTACAGCTCAGGTACTACAGTATGTTGTCCTGCTGCTCATGTGTTCTACAGTTTACTGCCCTTCACGGAGGAAGATATAGTCCACAGTTTGTTCTGTGATGTAGAACTACAGCTACTATTCACAACATTCATCGAAAACTATGTCAATCCAGCTTCTCCTCAATCAGTGTTTGTGCAGGTACTTACGTTTTTGTATCACTGATAAATAATGATCTTTAGAGATGATGGATGGTACGTACAGTAATTAGACCCTCCAGAAAAACGCGATTCTGCGATCGCAGAATTTCCCGCATAATCAGCAAAATGCCGCAGATTTTTAAAAGTCCGCATATTTATCAAAAGGCCGCATAATCCCCGCATTTTTCCACACAAAGTTGAGAAAAAAATAAAAAAGTTAACTCGTCTTGACGAGTAGTGAGGATGACGCAACGTCATCAGCCCGCGCATCACAGAAGGCAAACACAGTCGTGTGAAGGTGTGGAATTCACACACCAAGATGAACAAATCGAATCCATCACATTTACCCCACGAACATTTCAGCTAAAGACCGGACAAAGCAGTACCCCAATGTCTTGCACGAAAGTGGGGGGAAACTGTTCTGTACCCCGTGCAACTGTGTGTTGGAGCATAAAAGGAAATCGACTGTGAATACCCACTTCGATTCGCTCAAACATTCAAAAATGGTTTCTGCTGCGGACAAGAAAGCCAAGCAACTCACGCTCACAGAGGCTTCAACCTCCAAAACCCTTTCGAGGGTTGCAAGAAACGAGGTGAGTAGCCTACAATATTGAAGCTGGTCAGATAACGAACGAGTAAATGAAAACAGAATGAAGAGGAGGTAGGTGTGTGTGTGTGTGTGTGTGTGTGTGTGTGTGTGTGTGTGTGTGTGTGTTTCTGTGATGTAGCTTGCTTCTAGTATGCTTGTTTATCATAGCAACTCTTTGAAAGTGCTCCCTTTCATTCAGTAGTAGCCTAGTAACAGGGTGCGGGAGAATAATCACCTTTTTTCCGCTTCCCGCATATTTCACAACTGTTCGCATATTTCGCAACTTTCCGCATATTTCGCAACTTTCCGCATATTACGCAACTTCCCGCAATTTTCCCACATAAAAACCCCGCATTTTTATCGCATAATCAATTATTTTAGCCCGCATAATTAAGGATTTTGGCCCGCGTTTTTCTGGAGGGTCTAAGTAATGGTGGATTTGTGATTTGTTTCTCTGAAAAACCCGTTTCTGGACTGCATGTAAATCTACAGAAAAGGTTTCCTACTTGAGTTGGATGTTATTTCAAGACAGAAAACAAACTAAAATGGGGACCAATTTGAAAAGCGGTATTTTCTCACAATGATAAGAAAAGTAGCAATTCAGTGTTAGCCTTTAAGTCCCGGAGAATGCACGGCCGTGGTCTCAACGGAGTCTGTTGTGGGGATGATTATAGAGAGCGAGTGTGTGAGAGTGAAGAGGGCTACATTGATTTCACTGCTGTGTAAGTGCCTGCTGTAAGAGTTCCTGGAGAAAAGCTGCAGTGACAGGCGGGGTCAGAAACTCACCCTGATGTCCTTGGGGTGCTCTCCCTCTGCTATCCTCACCATCCACAGGAACTTGTTTATGTCGTCACCTGAGTAACCGATTACACCTCCGAAAATGATCAGCACGTAGTCCACATCCAGCGACCTCATGATCTGGTAGGCTGCGCTCTCGTTGGAAGACATGGCTTTCCCCACCTAAAAAAAACGGCAAAGAAGTGGTACTTGAATTGGAGTTTACGAGACGGGATGCTTCCATAAAGCAATAGGGAAGGAAAATAAGAAGGATTTATGAAAGAGAGATCAATCTTGTTTTCTGTGTAATTACGTTTCCTGTGGACAGACGCTGGAGTAGGAAGCAAGAGAGAACAAAGCTAAAGAGCCTTCGCAGACTTAAAGACAAAATGATTCCACTACATTTGGCAGCAGAGATACAAAACATAAATCAAACCTGCTGAGTCTGACAACAATTAACTGCAATTCCCCCACAGAGTAGATTCAAAGGGAATAGTTGGAGCAAACAAGATGATCTGGCTTGTTGGAAGGAGCGGTTTTATGCTACATAAAAAGAAAGAAATCACTGGAGCTTGTTAATCATCTAGGCTGCTGCAGGTTTGTATGCATGGGAATGAATGAAAACAGAAAGAAAGCCAAGTGATGAAGAATGAAACTGGCACGAGGCTCACCAGGGCTATGTGGCTGTTGTTCCACGTGTTATTATCCACTAGTGTGGTCCTGTTGGCCATTCCCGCTATCTGGTATCCGTAGTCCCACCACGACATGACGCGAGCGTTCTCTTCTGTGTTCTGCCTCAGCCAATAGTACGCCTCCCTGAAGTCATCCAGGATGTTGCGGGTCCTAACAAAGAGAGTAAGGTTGACAGCTAACAGCGTTGACAGGTATATACATGAAGCTGCGGAGGCAATTAATAATTCAGTCAAGACTTCCAGAATGAAAATAGACCATCCATGCATAATGAAACGAGGGTTCAAAAACAGCTCACACTCTGAACCCTCATGTCCTAAATTGACCTCGAGGAGCAGACGTAAAGCCAAACAACCAATTCACTTTAGGTATGGTAATCATTTCTTATGCTTGTGTGTGTGCACGCTTTTATGTGTGACTGTGTGTGTAGGTGTGTGTGCGCGAGAGAGCCGAGCAGAGTGCTGCTCCCAGTAGCACAGCTAAACCATTGTCTGAGAACAGCATTAATATAGGCATGAGGACTTGCAACCACCACTTAGTGTTGGCCTTCAATATTTCCGCCCTGATGCTGAAGAGAACAATCATGCCTGTAAAGAATCTCCGAGAGAATAATAGATCAGCTTTTTTCTGTAGATTCAGAGACGGTCCACAGATGTTTCTCTGTGACCCAGAAACACTAAGTAAAGCAATCATATTAAAGCTCATAGGTGCACATATCAATATTTCCACAACATGAAATATAAATGTGCTGCCTCTATCCTGCTGCTCTGTGTTTGTGCACACACACACACACATTTGAATGCAAGGTGGAGCAATCCAATCTTTTCTGTATTTCTGAAATGACTTGGTGGTTAATAAGCGGAGAGCTGAAGTGTACTGTGCGCATGTTTGATCCGTACCCGTCGTTGTTGTAGGAGGCGAGCACCACGCTGGGGCTGGAGTAGGCGTTGCTGGTGACCCATGTGCAGTGGACGGCGAACATCATGAGCAGCATCAGCATGAGCATGGTGACGATGGACTTGATGTTTGGACCCAGACCCTCCTCTGCCTTCTCCTGCTCCGACACATGTTTACGCACCTTACCCGCCTGCAGGGGGAGACAAACACTTTTTAGGATGGACGGCAGAGTCTGTAGCGTTCCAGGGAGATGAATTATTGAGCGGAAGAAATGATTGAATAAACTAATTGAGCCAAGTATCTTACAGCAGCCTCGTGCTTTCAGTGCGGAATGATGCGTCACTAAGGATTGAGAGATGGACCTTGTGATGAGTTAGTTTCACTTCACACCAGTAGCAGGGAATTGGTTAAGGCAATAAAAACTCTGGAGAGGAGGAAATCTGCATAATGGGGACATTTGTCTTTACTAACATCTCCAACTACTTGCTCTCACACCTTAACTGTGGCTTGAAGTGAGCGAGGAGAGATGTAGATAAAACATGAGATGAACAACGGAAGGACTGCACAGTGTTACTTGTTTTTAATGAGTGGATGTGTAAAGTTGTCTTGTCGTGATATACGGTATAGGTTATTTGTTTCCAGACGTGTTCTCGGGATCTTAGATTGACTTCCTGTATTGATAAAGATAAATCAACTATCAATCATTTATATTTAGACAACAAGTGGACATAGGCTGATACACAATGATCAATTGCATGCTTGAATAAATATAAAAAGGTAGAATGTAACTGTATCTGTAGTTTTCATTGTAAACATTGTGTATATCATTATTTTAGAATAAAGATGATGTAATGTTTTTCCTTGCAGAATGTATTTGTGACCTTAAAGCCTTTTGTTTAGAAAGCTAGATGGTTTTTTATCCGTTTCTTCTGTTCTATTATTCCTCTATGTTGGCAACAAATGATTCAATGTGTATTCCGTATTTGTTGTTATGCAGCTTGTATTAAACATCAAAGCTTCCAAGCATAGCCAAAATGTCCATCAGTGCTTTTCTCCACCGATACAGAGCAGCAATGACGTGGAACGATCTGTCACCATACGCAGATGCCCAACATAGCTTTCTCCTTAAGGATGGATATCTGTGGGTGATACATGAAGTGATGTGATGCCAAGGTGGACTTGAATAGACAAAGCCACAGTTTGGCTCAGCAGTGACAGCCGTGGGATCAACATTCGACAAAGTGAGACAGCTACAATTATGGCAACGGCATCCAACAGTTGCAGCTGAATCACAGTTGAATCACATGTTACCCAAACTGGCAAGCTAAACTGTTGAGGAGCGGGGAAAGCTGACACACACGAGAGTGATACATCCAAAGGTGTAAAGTCAATAAGGAGCTCACGGTCGCCTTTTTACGCGTTTGATGTACATTTGGATCATTCTCTCCTGTCCTGACCTTGTCATAAAGGTTCCCAGAATTCCTCTTGTCGTCCTCGTCGCTGCTGTCTTCAGCGGGGGGTTTCTCTCTCTTCGTGTCGTCTCCCATGTAATGCTCAAAGACGCTGGAGAAAGCCACGGCAGACAGCATGCACACCACCGGAGTCAGTGTCAGCATCAGGCGCACCATCACACCGGCAAAGTACACCGCGCTGATGGCATACAGGGCCACTGCAAGGGGACACGAATAGAAGGTGGTGGGTGGGAGAGAGAGAGAGAGAGGGAGCACAACATATAGAAAGGTCAGTCAAGGAGAAAGGCGGTGTGAAAGTAAAGGACAGAGGGAATTGGGCCGAGAGTGTGAGACGGAGATAAGGATATGAAAATGAGTTGTAATGCAGCATGATCAGCAGCTCTGCAGAGTTTAAACCCTAAACGGAGAGGGCGCTGGCTGCTTTCCGTCCTTGGAGAGTGAACACCCGGCTCAACAGGTGCATGGCTAATCGATAGCTGTAATTGGCTGATTAAGTCTGAGGGAGAAACAGGTCGGGCTGCTGGAGGGCGGGATCTGAGTGCTTAAAGGTTTTCTGCCCTTGATCTTGGCTGTCTCTCTCTCTGTAAACAGGAAAGTTTGTTTAAGATGATTGGGTTTTTTCTAAGTCCCCCGTGATGCTTTTCTTTTGCTGGTTTCTAGCTCGACATGCCTCCCAACCCGGCTACTTATATAAACTGAACCAAAAATATAACAATTTTCAGAATGATAAATAAACGTGAGCAAATGAATCGATACATTTGCTCCCTTACTGCGCAAGTAGGCAGTATGGTTTTTAACATTTTGTAGGCTACCGTAATTTTCGGACTATAAGGCGCACCTGAATATAAGCCGCAGCAGCTAAATTGAATGATGTGTACATATATAAGCCGCACTGGACTATAAGCCGCAGGTGTTTTAATGTTTAATTACCATATGTAAGGGTT